ATCAGACCTCATTTGGAATATGGGATCCAGGCACGAGCCCGTGTTTAAAATACGAAATAGACTTATCAGAAAGGGTGCAAAGAGTAGGAACTAAGCTAATAAAGGGTTTCTCAACCCTCTCATATGAGGAGAGGTTAAGTCGACTGAATTTATTTCCACTATCATACAGACGACTTAGGGGTGACCTAATACTAGCATACCGCATCCTAAGAAATGATTTTGGAGCTAATTTATTTCTTCCTTCTAGCACCAAACAATTGCGAGGACATCACCCGAAGGTTCAAAAACCACGGTTGAATCGTCTGTGTCTGGAGATCCGTTTTCCGCATCGAATTGTGAACCATTGGAACTCCCTACCGGAACACGTCGTATCAGCGCCATCCGTTGATTCATTCAAGGCGAGATTGGACCTCCTGTATGCCACGAATCGAAAGGATTAACACAGGCATATAGCCTACTATCCTAAATAAATTGTAAACTGTAAACTCAGCTAGTCCCGTGGGCTTTCTGGCTTTTAGAAAGCTTGTGGCATTCTAGACTTATGTTTCGTCTAGAGAGTAGTTTCTCATTGAGTTTTCGTTTGCTGTTAGTGGTATTTCTGTACGATCTGCAGGTGGTGGTGGGTTCAAGAGTCATTTGAAATGATCAGCCCATTGTTTCCTTTGTTACTCCTCTCTAGCAATTGTCTTTCCTATACTCTCAAGTCTCGTTGGTTTCATCTGTGTTGACTTCTTCTCCCATTAGCGACCTAGTAATCCAACATAATGTTGCGATGTATCGTTTACCTGCAGGCTCTTCTGCTTCACTTAGCAGTGTGTTTTCGAATGATCGTTTGTCTTTCCTCACGCTGCTCAGTGCTTACTTTGATGAGCTGTAGATTCAATTCAGTTTTTTCCCTTCGCTATGAATAAGATTTTTATTTCGATAAAATCGCACAGTGTTATACAGTAATATTTATTGATGACGTTCCGAGCACAATTTATTGCTCATAATCATATCAGCCATATTTGCAACGGTTCAGTTTCTCTTTCACCATCCTCCTCTCTTCTGTTATCTTGAACGTGTCCTTAGACAGCCGTTCCTTGACTTGACTCTTCTCCTTTCCTAAGAAGGCTGCACAGGTTTCCTTCAGAATCACTATAATAGGATTCCAGTGTTCTTCCACATAGCTCTTCCTCATGGTACCACAAAGAGTCTCCGACTGTTCTCTGGTCGCTGCCCTAATGGTTCCCGAGTGTTGAACGTGAATTGTAGACTACCCCAGCTGCTCTGAATGCTTTCAATTTGATCTTGAGTATTATTTTCACTTAAAAGTGGTTTAGGTCCACTTCTGCTTCTCTTCCGGATTTTGTATCTGTCAGGCTGCGTTTCCGCTTCCTCAAGATCGAGAGAAAGCCTGCTTAATTTTGGCATGTCAGTCAGGTTAAGCCCATGTTTCCCTGTGTATACCCTTGTGCTTGTGCGTACTGCCTATCACCAAGTCATTGAAGGCTCAGAAGTGTGTACATGGTTCTCCATTCTCAGACATTTTTATGAGGGCCTCCCTATCTGGGATGAATTCGCCTCCTGTGTTGTTTACTCCTAAACTGGTATTCATATCACTCATTAGGATTTCGATATCGCTATTTGATGTCCTGTCCTTCACTGCATGCAACTGTCTGTAGAAGTTTCCCTTGTTTTCTTGATCTGCTTCGTTTGTAGGCACGTAGTATTGGACAGTTGTAAGTTTCTAGGGTTTTTGATGGAATCTTACTGGCTCGCCAGTCAGCTTCAGACACTGTGTGGACATTCAGTGTCCCTACAGTTAATTTTGCTTTCATCAAATTAATACATATTGGCTGACTGGTTTTCTGAAGACTTTCATTATCCCGTGATATTTGATTCCTCTGTAACGACTGAATTAATCTTTCTGAATGGAGTGGCTAGCCCCATGTAGAACCTTCCCTCTTTTTCTGGGCTTTTCACCGTCCAGTAAGCTAGGGGAGGTTAGTATCCACTAAATTAGTCACTTAGCGATAATCAACGTCTTTCATAGCAATAAATTATTCAGTAGGTAGATAAATGAAGTTGATTTAGCCCTGGAGGAAAGGTTACCTTGTGAAACTAAAAGAGAAGGGCGACTTAGGCCTCACTCTGCAAGAACTGCCGAGGAATCATGCTCCTGTCGACGCCAAGTAAAATCCTGAGTCGCATCATCCTGGAGAGAATAAAGGACGCACTGGATACAGAATTCCGACCAGAACAAGCTGGATTCAGGAAAGGCAAATCATGTTCTGACGAAATTGCAACTCTACGAAACATCATCGAACAAAGCATGGAATGGCAATCAAACCTCTACCTCAACTTCATAGACTTTGAGAAGGCCTTCGACAGCGTTGACCGCGAAGTAATTTGGAAACTGCTCGAGTACTACGGCATAACCCAAATATTCATCAACCTTATTCAACAGCTGTACGACAACGGCACATGTCAAGTGATCCACAACGGAAAACGCAACGAGGCGTTTGGAGTAAACACAGGAGTCAGACAAGGGTGCTTATTATCACCAATGATATTCCTAATTGTGGTGGACTGGATTATGCGTCAGACAGTGGGAAACGAGAAGACAGGGATATATTGGACCGACGTGAAGAACTTAGAAGACCTGGATTTTGCGGATGATTTATGTTTGATGTCACACAAGATCGAAGACTTACAAGCGAAAACTGACAAACTGGTCGAAGAAGCAGCCAGAGAAGACAGGACTCCAGGTGAACATAGACAAGACGGAGGTTATGAAAATGACCAACCAACAACAACAACAGCAGCAACATCCAGCGCCAATCACCATCAACGGGAGGGATTTGAAAGAGGTCACTTTTTTTATTTTGATTACAGCTTGATGCTACACCGTATTTTCAGTACAAGTATGAAATTTTCAGCATGGATATCGGTAGCCCGAATTTCAGGCCGACCATAGATATCGGGTGTGCGCCGGCAGGTGATCGAACCTCGGACCATGTGCATGGTCGGCGAGAGTCCTAACCACTGTGCCGCCGACGCAAATTCGCTTTTCTAGGGAGCATTGTCTCAACCACAGGAGGAACGGACGAGGATGTCAAATCGAGAATCGGGAAGGCGAGAAACACATTCATCAACCTGAAACCAATCTGGAAATCTCCGTCACTCAGCATCAACAACAACATTCCGATTTTCAATACAAACGTCAAGTCAGTCAGTTCTTCTACACGGATCAGAAACTTGGCCAGTGTGTCACAAAGAATATTTCCAACAGCCTGTTGCAGACCTTTATCAACAACTGTCTTCGCTCTATACTGAAGATCAGATGGCCGGAAAGAATCACCAACAAGAAACTATGGGAACAAACAAAGCAAGAACCAATCGCCCAACAAATATGCAGAAGAATGTGGCGATGGATTGGACACTCGCTGAGGAGGCCACTGGGTGACATCGCGCGTCAGGCCCTCGAGTGAAACCCGAGAGGGAAGCGGTGAGTGGGACGTACAAGGGTGACATGGAGATCGTGTGAACAGGAACTGAAACAGTATGGATTAACATGGATGCAAGTGAAAAGTACAGCAGAATACAGAAGCAAGTGGAGACGTGCAGTTGAGGCCCTATGTTCCACTAGGAACCCAAGGGAACAATGAATAAATAAAAATAGCCCGTACTCAATACAGTGAACAATACATCAAGTATCTATCCTACACTGTAGATGGTACAGCGGATATTAAATCTCCATGATAGAGATATTTTCTCTACGTCTTAGACAGGAAATTAACTATGAGACAATGAATTCGCAAATTTTTCCTTCATCTTCAAAGGTCACCTTGATTTGATTGTCTGTCACACAGTAGTTGACTAGTCTTTTTATTCAATCTGTTATTTATCCATGCTCATTTAGTTGAATTACTTGACTATTATGAGATGGCTTATGTCAGTGGTGATCTCAGCACTTCAGAGAAGATATGCAAATCCGATACGTTGTTGTTATATAGGCAACAAACAATCAAATCCTTGTTTAACAAATCAACTGGTTCAAGACCAATATCAGGGACGTGTGGAACAATTCATTGTCTTATAAATCAAAGAAAACGAAGCAGAACAACCGCGAATGTCATGTCTCAAAGATATTTTACATCCTTGGTTTCATGAGTAATATTGATTCTCAAACTTTATTCACTGGGTAAAGTTTAGTCAACTGACGCTATGTTATGCAAACTAATTTGAAAGGCTTTTCTTCATTCTACGCATTCTGAGTGAAACATGGTGCTTCAAGCTCTGAAAATTCAATGGCGGTGGTGTTATTACTACAGAATGGGGATGATAACCTTACGGTCAATGTATTCGGGCTTACTGCTGGCTAGATGAGCTTTAGTAGTACGTCGAATATGGACCAGGTGCATGGTTGGCGAACATTCTAACAGTGAATCACCAAAGCAGTTTGAAGTTTATCGGTGAACACATATCCTACTCTAACTAATTTAGAACTTTGTCAGCTATCAATTCAATGACTTTTGATCAAAAATTGCTTGAATAAAATGGGCATAATATTTTTAGTATATTTGCTGTATTGTTAATCACCCAACTTGCACTCATGTACTTTTGCATTTTTGTTCAAAGTGCAGTGACTTGAGCTAATGTGCCCTTATGGTAGGTTTAGCACTAGTCTACGAATCTGTTTGATACTTTGTGCTATTTTCCTTAGGACTATATAAATAAAGTTGTTTACCTCAGAGGGCTTTGTCACCCTATAACATTTTGACTGAAATTATAATTTGAAATCAGAAAATGCGAGGAAATTTAATATAACAATAATACTAATACTGATGTAGAAGGCAATTAGTGAACTTGGTGAGAAAAATTTTGGGCATTAGGTATACGGTTTCAATGCTGACTGTTTTCTGTTTCTCCACTAATTAAAAAGAACCTTTAAAGGTAAGAAAGGGGTATTCACAGTGTATGAAAAACTATTTCCGCCAATCAAGCATCCCTCTTACCTCTGTATCTCATCCTTCTTTATTATACTTTCATCGGTGGGATTCGTTTGCATGTGGAACACAATCTCTTTGTACAATTCCTGAAATAAAAGGAGAGCAAACAAAATTATCATCCAGTTGAATGCATTCTATTCGTGCTGTCAAGTATTATCACCTTGATGGAGGGTGTTGAATAAGTATTAAGGTAATTGTTGTCACATTTAGTCCTTTAATTATTTTTTCAAAAGTGTTTGCTGGCTTTGCTTCAAGTATGCTGTTAAACGACGGTGCTTTGGCTACATTTCCTCAACGCCTAATCTTATGAAGTTGCTTTAACAAAGCAAGAACAACTAACTTGTCAGCATAATAAAATACCATTCTGTTTCGTCTTCTCTTGTCAACCTCATTCGACCTAAAACAATTGTATTATCAATATAGGAAATATACACGGATCAGTAATTGGTCATCGTGGAAATAAGGGGCATTGCGTAAATGAGAAGGTCGAAGGTGTTAGGAAGTCTGCTGGTTTATGCAGAACATTCTAGAGTTAACAGAAGAACCTAGAAATTAATTAGTGGTGTAAAAACTGGTACAATATATCATGTTAAAGTCGTTTTATTTTGAATGAGGTTGACCTTAAGTGAAGAAATAAAACGATTTCACGTTATCCTGCCCAATTTGTTCTTCTTGCTCTATTCAGTTTCCTCAAGCAAAAACATGTACTATAAATACCAATTTCAAAAGGTAGTATACAGAAAATGCAGTGATGCGATTGTGGTGGCACAACAACCAATAACACATCCTAAGTGTTTTCGAATAGCTCCCTAAACGTAAACGAATGAAGATTTGCAAATATGACCATTAACAGTTTTGACTAGGGAAACCCAAGTGCTGACTGTGCGTAAAAAAGTGACACATATTGCATATATGTTAGATGATTTAGCGCAATATGTAGAAGCCTCGAATATACATGCCTCGAACCTTGGTATCGTGCCTGTCGGTACTAATCAGCCAGGCGCGTCTGGAACGCTGAAGGAACCCATATCCTCCCTTCGGATTCGGACCTGTGTCGCCCAGTGCCATTAGTCAAAGACATTACCATTAAGCTATTCGAGTTTGTGATTAACCTTCTGTCAGACTACCCGTTGCCTCCAGTCATCAAATATCAATTCAGAGTGTACCGTGGCAGTAAGCCATCTAGTATGGTAACTACGTGCAACCTTGATGGGTAGAATTGAGTCTACACCAAGACTAAAGACTAGATGCCTGAGATTGGATACTCTTCTTGGAAAGACATATATTATCTTATTGTGTGACCGTACTTAATAAGTTTACATACCTGTTTTGGAAATTTCCTGTACAGCAGGTTCGCAACAGCTCCTATAGCCAGACAAAAAGTCTTTCAAATACCTCCGGTATCCGAAATCATGGCTATCGTTATGCATCTAAATAATCTGATTCGAATCTTGCCATTTCATAAGGGAAACCTCTTAAGCCTGAAGACCATTTTTAATACAGATACACTTGTAATAATAAGTTTAAATACTCAAACTTCTCAACACTGATAATCTTTTTAACCATTGGGTTTAACAACACATCAACATGCTTTCCATTGGCCAATGAACTGTAAATGAAACTTATGTAAGCAGACTGATAACTGTATACTGTACGCTGTATAATGGGTAGTAGCTTTCGCATTCGATAAAATTGGTATAGATATCAAATATCCACTTACACGTAAATATGAAGTAATAATATTTAGTTTAAGAAGTTCAGAGGCGGATGGTCTTTCTTGTGGAACCTTCTTTAACATTCTAAAAAAGTGCAAACAAAAATAAAAAATTAAACACTTTTCATTAAGACCATCAGTTAATACTGTGCTTAATAAGTGTATTTTTTTTACCTGGGAAATGGAAGTCTCTTAGAATGAGCTTACTATCTCACCCGGCAGAGAATTATACTGGAGGTCGCGGTTCTATTAAATTCATGTCTTTGAACTACTTTGAACTTGATTTACCTTTGACTTTTACTCCCAAATGTTGACTACCAGGTTCAGCATAACTTGATCATGTCACAATATCTTCCGATAGTGTAGGTTAGTATTTTGCTGCTGTTTATCTTTGCCCGTTCATATTCTCTCCTTAAAAGTGAATAATGATAACGACAACTATTTCGAGGCAATTTCAGTGAAATGTTGCAATTTGAGTTCACTTCTGTAACTAGGGCATTGATGAAACAACTTCTGTCCTCAGACATATCAGTGACAACACTACTGAGTATCCAAGTCTATAAGAAGGGAGTTAAGTCTTCCTGTGACAATCATAGGGGAATAAGCTTGACCAATATAGCATCTAAAGTCCTAGGTTCAATAACCACGCGTCGACTAACTGGCTCTCGTGGCGAATAAATCCGGGAAACCAGTAGAATGTTGGGCCAGGAACAGGGTGTATTGGTTACATGCTCACCCTCTGACAGATTATGGTACATAGGTACACTTGCTGGCTTCCAAAATTTGCCACATTTCTTGACCTGAAAGTGGCATTTGATTTCGTCGATTGAGAGGTGCTGTGATAATGTTGAGCCATGGATGAAGAAAGTTTATCACACAAATCAAGGCACTCTACTCGAACTCACGTAGCCTCTTAAGAGCTGATGGAGAGTTGTTTTCTGAAATGATGACAACCATTGGAGTCCACTAGGGATGCGCATTGTCCCCATTTCTGTTTAATTTCATCATGGATGAACTAAATAAATAAAATTGACCCTAGCTGAATTTACTGATTTAAGCTTGGAATTCTTATCAGAGGTCAGTCTTGTGAACCTAGAGTATCCAGGTGATATTGTCCTTCTGTGTGGAGACGCTGAAAAAATGCAGGGTCCACTGAATACGTTGAGCAGAAATCTTCAAATGTTTGGCACGCGACTCTCCCCTGTCAGATATAAAATGTGCTACATGACAGGTTCAAAATGACTTCTAGTTCACTGATAGGGGATGAAGTCGTATAGCATGTTAACTTATTCACTTATATGATTTGTTCAATCAGCTTAAATGGACTCATAGCTGACGAAATCTCAGAAGGCATAAAAAGGCTTCGTGTCATTCGTCAACTTATATCATATCTGGCGTAGATATGATATCCGGCTCTCCAAAGGACTTCTGTACTGTAAAGCAGTTCGCTCTGTTATCCTTTACGGCTGTGAGATGTGGCCATTGAAAGTGGAAGATATGCGAAGTCTACCTTCCATTGATGACACATGTTAGCCTTCTATCTTTCGTGTTAAGTGCTTTAATGTGGTGAATAATAATTTGGGGTTAGGCGTGCAGTGCTAGGTAAGGAGGACAACTTAGTTAACGAGACACTAAAGCTTAATCAATTCCGATGACTAGGACACGTGTTATACATGCCAAGCAACTTCATTCTTCGACGAGCAGTATAGATTATTTGGGACTTAGCTGGAAAAGTGTTACGGGTGGCCAAACTAAAACCTGGCGTCAACCCATGTAGATATTGAGAGTTGGCTTGAGCTGCATAAGGAATTGTAGTCCATCTAGTTGAGGTCAACGGGATGCTAAGCGGCAATGGTTGGAGATAACTGGTAATGTGGTTCAAAGTCGTTCTCAATGGTGCAGATTCACTTCCTCTTTGTAATCTTCCAGATCCATTAATTCCTCATGCTATTCAATGTAAGTATTCTTTGTCTCTTCCAGCTCTCTCCCGATAAAGTTCTTTAAGTTTTCTTTCCTCTTCTCCAGCTGTTGGTCACATGGGATGTGGAGACCTGAAATGCTGAACTTCTAAGCAGAGTCCTACATCGAAACTCAGTCAATCAGTCACTATTTGGAAATACACGCCGACTGGAATACCATCTCGCTGCCTAAAACTATCTCGTTTCTTTTGGAAATCATTTGCGGTAAATGTTTCGCAAAAACTGATTGCATACTTTGAAAGTTCTGAGGAAGAGACAGAGCTCTGACAATTGTCCTCGCTCATTAGTTAACTTAGTGTTCCAAAGAAAAGTGGACAATCACTGTGTTTATCGTAGATACAAGTAGTCACTTCACAACACACTTTGTGTTTTGTGTTATAATTCATTTAAATCTATCAGACCACAAATGTTTTAAAATAGTGTTTTTCTGTATTCTTTAACTTATCTGGATCACCTTCAATTTGTGTAGTTTAGGTTTTCGTAATACACCAGTCAACTGGTTTCGATATTAGACTGGAATATTTTCTTAAACCCCCATGGCTACCAACTCATAGATTTATTTGACAGTGTGCAACCTTCTGTTATTTTACGACAAATCAATGACTATTGAAAGTTTATCATTACTCAGAAAAGTAGTGTGAATTTTGTGGCACCTCAGCCGATTTTAGATTCCTATGAATTGGTACTACAAATCATCCCTTAAACAATAATTCTATCAGTTACAATTGTAGTGTTCTGTTAGAGATTCAACACAACCATACGTGTATATCGTTCAAAAGTAATCACAAATAACATACAGCTCAAGAACTTCTTGGAGCTCTTTGGAGTAGATTTCTGGTAGTCGGGGACATGGATCATTTATCACTTGCCACATAACGCGCATTAAATTCGTTCCAGTAAAGGCTCTCCTTCGAGTGCACAATTCGTAGAGAATTATCCCAATAGACCTTGTATAGTTAAAAATGATAAAATACGATATGGTATTATTAGCATTCAATTAACTAAAATAATTTTACGTGTTTATGGATGCAGTTTTTTCACCGACACTTCTGGACTGGACTGATCTGCCTCCTTTTGTCACATAACCTGCTCATACGGATACCTCAAAATGTCATGATTTTTCCCTTGATATTTCTTGTTTGGCGTTTGAGAGTAGTGAGATCTAGGATGTTCATTTTGTCCTGAATTCCATCTCTGGTGACTGGCAAACAAGCCAATACTGACAAAAATGGTCAGTGCTCATTAATTAATCGATGAATAAGCTGGCTACCCGAAAAACTTAACTGTTTGGAACACTGACCACTCCTCAAACTAAGGGAAATGCAACTGCTGATACCTACACTGAATACGTATTTCATAGAAAAAACATATCATTGCCTATATAACTGAAAACACTAAAAATTTGAATTCATTTGTACAATAGACTATTTCGGATAATGCTGCCTGATGGATTCAAATCCAGAATCTCTGAGAGTCACTCTTTACTTTTTGAATTGTCAGTTAATTTGCGGGGGATTGAAAACAACAAGAGATGTAACTGATATAATCAGGCTGCAGAGTCGTTTAGCCCTTTTGATCACTGCAAAATTTGAAACTGTTGGCGATCTTGTCATAAGACAACTATTACCTTGACGTGGTTTATACTCTCTGACTACAAAATATATAACTTTAACGTTCAACACATGTAACTTACCAGATATCTGATTTGTTGTTGTAACCTTCATACTTTAAAACCTCTGGACTCATATAGTATGGAGTTCCAATGAAAGTAGTTGCCAGTTCATTAGTTGTAGTCAATAAACGTGAAATACCAAAGTCGCCAATTTTAATATTTCCATTCTTTAGGAATATATTACTGAAAATGATTAAAAATGTATTGATTTCTCTTTCGAAATTAACTGAAAGCTGGCTACGTTGAGGAAAATTAAACAAAATTTTGCCTTTTAACTGAACTATTAACTGTTCATTTAGATTGAATGTGCACTTATCTGGAGGTCAGTCTTAATGTGTAACAGGGCTATAGTCTACCTAGCTTTATCACTTTTAATTTTCACAGTTTACACGGAGAAATCATAGAGAAGTGTCCACAAATTAACGCTGTTTTAAATTTTGAATGTTATATTTAGTGTCAAGCGGTTCGTTACTAATCCCTTCATCATATCTGAAGCTATAAATATGTCAGCGTAATGGCAAATGCTTGTAATTTCTGGTGTTTATGTTCAAAGCACACCATCCCTATAACTAAGTTCTTTTCTCAGTATGATTAATGACAGTATTCACTATGGCAAAATTAACGGATCAGCTTTAATTATTTAAATAATTTACAAAGAAATAAATATCCTCGATATGACTGACATATTGAATAAGAGAAAGATATTTAAATAAAACTTTTTAATCAACTAATTTTCTTCTTTTAATGAAAAATAATGACCATACTCTCATGGCTGTCAGCTTTTAGGAAATAAAGACACACAGAATGTCAAGCGATTTGCTACGAAAAACATTTCATAGATTAACAGAAGCATATTTTAAACACACCGCCATAACCAAGTTGAGGTATAAGCCAGTAAACCACCACAACAATTCAGTAAGCTATTAATATAAGTTAGAGAGTGAGTTATTCCAAGCGTTAGACCAGGTAGTTGAAGAGAAGCAAGCAATGTAAAGTATTTCAGACTTTATCAGATCATGAATCCATACTTTACCTAGGTTGAAAAAGATTCGCATCATTTCTTCTTCGACGTCTCTTAGTCCCCTAGGTTGCGTTTCTATTCACACTTGACTTGTTTTTAATCTAGGTGACATCATTTTCGAATTTCATTCTTGATAAATTCTTTTTTTTTATCATCCTCTTCTGGAAACAAGCAGCTATTTCTGTTTTTGAGTAAAGGTATTCTATAATTATAGAAAAAAGTCTTTTTATTTCATTTACAGACCGCGTTCCAGTTACAACAACTAAGTCATGTTGCACCAATATAGAGTACTGGTGCTCCACGAAGATAAGCTGTCTTTTAGCGCTTTTATTGATAAAGTCAACAAGTACTTATTTAGAGATATGTCCATGGAAATGTCCTGAATACCCAACTTTTATGTATAATGCAATCGACATCCAACTCATGTGTGAACAGCTAGTCTCGCAATTAACCGAATATTCACCATAGGCTACAGTGGTAGTTAATCTAGCGAAGCCTTTGAACTGGCTTATACTACCAGGTGCGTTGTCGATTCATTTATTTGTGAATTGCTAATTTGCTTATTTGACCTTTAGTGTTCACTTCTATCGTTTTAATAGAATACAAAGTTAAATGGCATAAAATATTTAAAACAAACCTAGATTTCAAGTCACGATGAAGTATTTTATTTTTGTGAATGAAACTTGTGGCCAGTATAATTTGTACGAGCCATTTACCAATCAGTTTTTCATCAATATGTTCCCCATTTTCCTTCACTCCTTTTAAATAATGCGTTAAGTCCCCACCCTGTGGTAGTTTTAGATTTGAAGAAAGTAGGCAAAACATGCTTCTGAGTTACAACTTCTTTTTTAATCTCTCTTTAGGCATTTTACTAAAGCTGCAAAACACAAAATGTATTTTTACATTTTAATGAGAAACTTTTAATTGACTGGTTAGCCTAGCATTCAGAAAGGTACACTATATATATATATATATATATATATATATATATATAATGTACATAGGTTACTTACACATCTACAAACCACTGATAATGAAGGATTGGTTTCAAATTGCAACGTTTTCATACGAAAGAGAATAACAGGCTAATGCGTATGAGAAAAAAGGGGATAAAATTGACAAAGGTGTGTTCAGAGTCTGTCTGTCTGTCTGTTTTCGACATAGAACTTTGCACTGATGTGCAGCAGTTCAAGTCGCCACACTCCATGTAGCACACAAAGGAAGAGAAGAAATGCATAATATAGACAGTAAGCAGAGGTGTGAGACAAAGGAGTAGTAATAAAGAAGAACGGACAGTTTCATCGGAAATCACAAGTCACAAGGAGTGGATGCATCTGCGCCACTGAGAACCATTTTGAGCCATGTCACCAATTGTTTCCAACCATTGATTTTTACCGTTCCGAGGACCCCAACCAGGAAGTCTACACCTCCCTACGTGACTTAGACTAACTGTTGTGGATTTCATTGACTGGTGCCAAGTTTTCGTTTGACCGCCGCTAGCTCTTTTCCAGCCTGACCCTATATCAGCGAACACTGCCCGTCGAGGAAGGCGATGACTAGGCATACGTAACACATGTCCCAACCATCTCAGTTGATGTAATTTCACAGTCTCATCGATTGATGTTCAGAGTGCTAAGCACTCACTTGCATTATAGAAACCAAAAAGGTTGTCATGACACATACTTGAGGAAAACAACGAGGGTCATGTTAGCAAAATGTGAGTAAGTTTACTGTTACAGTGTTGTTAACCTGGTTTCTATAGTCTATGAAATTTAAGAATAAATAATTTGAAGATTCAGATAAATCATAGCTGTTTCATGTCCCTTCCAATGTGTTTAGTAGTTCACTTCAATTGAAATACCTATAATTTTCGTAAAAATCCTTATTATTTCGTGAACTGGCAAGTCAGAATTGTCATCAGACATTCACTATCGCAGCAAAAAGACTGTATTCTACACCAAAAACAAGCTCCTAAAGTGATTTGCTTTAGTTTCAAAAATGGAACTGCACGCCTAACGAAGTACAGAAGGACAAATAGTAACCCTTACAGAGTATAGAGAGAACTTTTTTCTCTGTAGTGCCTAAGGCGTGGCATGCTGCTTCTTATGTGAGACTATCATAGTCCCATGGGCATAATAATGATGACTAACACTATTATTGCAGAAGTTTAATAGATTGGGGGGCTAGTGAATGTAAGAAAAGTTGAAGACAATGCTGTAAAAATTATTTCCAAGTCCATCATACATTGGTTTCATGAGTAGAGAGTTTGAATATAAACTGAATTTATGTATGAAGAAGTAATGAGTATTTAGATCCACTGTGAGGACCTCTGTCATCCTGTTTATGTGATGCCAATCCCACTGAAAAAGAATGTTGTTTCAAAATCATCTGGAAGTTATATGGCCGGAGAAGGCTGGAAGAAACTGGCACTGAGCAGTTAAGAAATATGTACAAATAGGATATCTTACATTGTGTTGTTTACGTTTTCTGAAAAATCAGGGAGATTTGAAAAGCCTCATTCAGTTATTCATGCAGAAGCGAATCCCGTCTTGCAAGATAATAGATTCGTTCATACTTACACTAAATGAAAGTAACAGCCTCATTATATATTTTATATTTCGCCATGTAACCCAAATAAATAAAAATTCAAACAAAATTTCGGAGGAATGCGTGATAATCCTAATCTTTTATCTCCCTCTAAAATACATTCGCGAAATCAACACAAAAAGGTGTTTAAAGCGAAGACGAATAAAATACGCGTGGAATTTAGATTCTCTCACAGAGTGATCAGACACTGGTACTCTTTACCTGATTCAGTAGTGACAGCTCCATCTGTGAACGCTTCCAAAGATAAATCACATCTCTGCAGAGGTATATATTACAAGGATTTACATAGGCAACAAAAGCCTAACATCCTGATTATGTGAATAAGAATTAGACAAAACCCCATAATTACAACCGATGACACATAACATTCGAATAACACCGAATTGGCCTTAAATTGTGTGACAGAAACTCATCGGTTTCTAATAGACAGCATATATAAGTTTGCAAATCAGAATATATCAGGTCACCTACAGATATCCATAGGTTACCGGAAATAGCCATATGAAAAAATTTAAACCAAACTTTTCCCAGAAGACTATATATATTCATATGAATATAAATTTTAGACCGAGTGACTCAGTCCAAAACTGCAACCAAACAGCTTACTTCACAATATTCTGCTACGAGACAAAATTTATTTTTCTCGACAAAACTTTCATATGTACGTAAAATGTATGGATGTCTGAGGCCCGACAATAATCGAGCTTCTTTCTCGCAGTCATTCTGGGAAAGTGATTGAATTTCATCAAGTTTTATGCATTTGAGTGCCTTGAAAACCTTTCTTTTTTAAGACTATATGTGGTAGTATTTGACTTAAAATTACTTATGTGTCCGAGATTCTTGCAAATCTTCAACCAAGTAGGTTTTCCCACTTGCGCCTTTCCCTAACTTTTTTATAACTAAGTATCTCTTCCTAAATATTTTGATGTCTCCACTTGTCATCCTGAATTTCGAATTCACATTGAAACTGACGTAACCATAACGACGTCCAATATTCAATACCTGAGGGTGACATGTAGGAGGTCGTTTGATGAGGAAATGAGAGCTAATGCATGATCGTTGAGCGGTCTAGACGATATTTTAGAGATGTCCAACCCATCGCCCCTTTCCTATTCGGGCTGCAATCTACGGCCGTCTTGGTTCATGATGTCAGTTGGCAGTCACTTCACCGAACGTCAAATCCATTCCCATTTACATCTGCATATTGACCAGGCGACAGATTGATTGATTCTTGGTTAGTGTTTTCGCAGACTTTCTTGTTGCTTATCCCCCCATACCGGTCACGTGATCTTCAGTATCGAGCCAGTGCACGCAACTGTTGATGAAATTTTACAGGCTGTTGGAAATGAATTTAATGATGTGCGTGCTGTCTCTCATTCATACACAAGCACTGGCTTGACATTACTGTTGAGAACTTGAATGTTCTTCTTAATTCTGAATTGAGTATATTTTCATTCCACCTCAACCGAGAATATCATTTCGTCGAGCCTTCCGTTGTAAATCATGTGATTTGTTCGATCATCATCGAGCTGATGAACCAGGGTGGTAAATTTCTTTGTGGTTCACTCCGTAGTGTTTAATCAGTTTCCAAATAATCTCATGGTCAACGCTGTCAGTGGCTCTTTCATAGTCGATGACGTCAAAATATAATTGTGACTACCTTTCCATTACCTTTTCGATGATTCGTAGTGTTGCAATTCGGTCTGCACACGATCTGCGTTCTCTAAGACCAGCTTGTTATGGGAGAAGTTAGCACCCAGGTCATCTTTTAGTCTTTCCAGGATGATGTGACTTAACATTTCGCTTGGAGCGGAGCAACTCAAAGATTGAAGTGTTACCACAGAGTTCATAGGTGTTGTTGTCCTTCTAGGTGGAAAGATCAAGTCCTCTGAGCACCTCGGGAAAAACTCTCAGTAAATTTAGCATATAATTCCTCAGCTTCTGCCAGCTGTGAGACGATGTTGCTGTACTGCAGTACACCCCTTCTAATTTTAAAGATAGAATGCATGTCGTCAACGTCATTTTTAGGAGAGTAACACCCACCTTGATATACTGGCTTCTGACAAAATCTCAGGTCGGAGTCCATAGCCTCATGCGTTATTCGCCAATTCATGTCATCTTTGGTGAATAAGTGAAATCCGGATGTTGATCAAATGGACTGTCCACAACTAAGTTCTCTGTGTCCTTTATAATGCTCTTAGACGTGGCAACTGAAAACAGAGCATCCTAAGAGGCTAGCTGCGCTTGACCAGAGATAATACCAATCAGGCTCCCGTGTTAAGTGTAACAATATATGGAGTAATCCCGAAGTCCGACATGGATTGTTATCCAATATCCTGATTACGAGCTAGTATAAACCAGCGATTTCTTTGAGCTCGCTTCTTGATTGTAAGGTAGAGGTTCCAGATCTTCATTGAACTTATGCGTAGTAAGTCCCGCCACACGACTGCCTTAGCTCTGGTAGACTCCAAGAGGAGTGGTGCAGGGATTGGTCAAAATGTGGTTTGTAGTGTGCAGTATGTTAGGACTGAGTTGCTGCCGTGAATGAAGTTTGACCTAACTCCCGTTTCTCATTCGGTGTAGTCACCAAAGCAGAGTAATAATGATAATAATCGGTTCTAGTGTAGATAATATAGGTTGAGATAAATGAAATAATAAAGGTGACCTAAGGAAAAGATAGAGTAGTCGGTACAGTGAGAGAAGAGAGAACAGGTCGTGGGGATTTAGCTTGTGTGCTTATCCATTGACAGTGTGGTTTCAAATTTTAAGAGGATAAGCCATTGAGACTCAAACCTTGCATTTCCGCATGATTGTCCAGCTTCCGCTTAAAAGTCTGCACAGATGGCGCTGTAGTCACGGCTGCCGGTAAAGCGTTCCAGAGACGGCAAACGCGAAGCGAGAAGAAATGTGAACGCACTCGAGTCCTTGGTCTCTGGTGTGCTATCCTTAGCGGGTTACCTCGTGGAAGCCTATAATCACTTTATGGCAGGAGGCTTTTATTAGAGTGGGCCTGGTCATTTAAGATCTTGTGGATGGTGATGAGGTCTCCCCTGTGACTACGGTAACTAAGTGTGAAAAGACTTAAGTTCTTCAGTCTTTCCTCATATGATTTGTTGCGAAGGCCGATCACCCATTTTGTCGCTCGTCTCTGGACACTTTCTAGCATGTTAGCATCCCTTTTGAGTAGCGGAGGAGCAATGATATTATACACCTCAAGGAGTGGCCTCACGTATGTCGTATACAACGTTAGGAATAGTTCAGGAGTAAGAGCTCCCAGCTGCCTATGCATAAAGTGTAAAGTGGCGTAAGCTTTGGCAACGTCCCTCGTGTAATTTACACTGGTGTCTAGCTTTTCTGTTAAAATAAGACCTAGGTCGCCTTCTGATGGCACACAACTCAAGTTCTGGCCACCAAGGGTGTAATTTGCACTCTGTGACCTGCCGGAATGAAGTTGCACTACTTTGCACTTCTTTAGGTTGAAAGGCATTCCATTAGACAGAGCCCAGTCTCCCAGAGTTTGCAGGTCAGCCTGCAATCTGTCGGAGTCTCCCGATGAGTTTACTGCTCTCCAAATCTTTACGTCGTCAGCGTAAAGAAGCGCAGAGCAGTTCAGTTGACAGGGCAGGTCGTTGATAAAAATCAAAAACATCAACGGCCCTAAGATAGAACCCTGAGGAACTCCTGATGCCGAGGTGTGCCAGGATGATCGGATGCGGTTGACTTTGGTGCGGAATTCTCTCTCGCTGAAGTAATCTTTCAGCCATGCGATAAGTGCTCCAGAAACACCCGCTTTGCTTATTTTGTGAAGGAGCAGACCATGGTGAACTGTGTCGAATGCTTTCGCAAAGTCGAGAAAGATCACATGGACTGGTACCTTTACATCCCAGGATAGTGTCCAATCGTTCCAAGCTAGTAGAAGATTCGTCACACAGGATCTTCCCCTCCTGAAACCGTGCTGTGCTTCATGGAGTAGGTTAGTCCCGTCGAAGTATTTTCTCATGTGGTCGTCAATGAGACTTTCCAATATCTTCGATATCACTGGGAATAGCGCAACTGGTCTGTAACTGGTCGCATTCTGTCGGTTACCACCCTTGAAGATGGGGGATAGGATGGCTCGTTTCCATTCACATGGAAGTTTCCCTACATCAAAGGAGTGTTGAAACAGATCACTTAGGGGTTGACAGAGACTATCTGAACACTGCTTCAGGACGGATGGTCTTATGCCATCGCAACTTGCAGACTTTCCCGAAACCAACTTTCCCAATTTTACGAGTACTATAGCCGGGGTAATTTGAAATGTACCCAGCAGGTTTTTGCACGTTGGTCTTGCATTGTAATCTTGATGTTTTGTGGGGGTAAAATCCTCATTACTGTTCAGTTGCCTGTGAAAGGCTTGACTGAATGTCTCTGCCATTTCAAGACTAGTAAGAGATTTCCCATCAGAACCTACTATATTGCGAGCTCCCTGGTTGGTCGGTTTTCTTTCAGACATAAACCTGTATGGTCTTTTGGGGTTCACGAGAAGCTTATTGGCTAGGTTTCTCTGAAATGTCCTTCTGTCACTCCGGACTCGTATGTTACATCGATTCCTGAGTTCAAGGTACACTTCATGTTCGGGTTGGCTCTTCGATAGTCGCTACGCAAACCAGGCTTTTCGCTTCACCTGCAGAAGGCGTTGTGTCCTCCTTTTTAGCTACGAACGTTGCTCCCTAGTTTTCGATGTGACTGAATGAACAGTGTCTGAGACCGTCTGGTGAATGATCTCCTTTACCACTCCCTAGTGTTCTTCTACTGTTAGCTCTGTCCAGTTTTTAGGCCAATTCGCTTCAGACAAAAATCTTCGCATTTCGGTGTAATTGGCTTTGTTATAACACAGATGGGGCTGTGTATTGTCCCAATGTAAACGCTCGCGGAGGACTATGTCGAATATTAGGACCCCGTGGTCACTACTACCTATGGAAGTCGTGATCCGAACGTTTTCCACTAGTAGCTGGTCACTAGTGAGCACATAATCCAGTCTAGAGGACTTCCCGTCTGGGCCCCATCTAGTATCCATTGTGACATTTTCAGTGAATCCGGACTCCATGATGGTATGCAGCAGATTTCGATCAAATCTATCATGGGCATATCCTGTCATCAAGTTAAGAGATGGGGCATTGAAGTCGCCAGCTATGACAATTTGATCATAACCCATGTCTTGAGTCGCTGAAATTGTATTCAGCAATACCTGGTTGTGGTCTGCTCCACATGAAGGTGAACTATAAATGCTGCCCACTAGATATTTACAGTACCCAACGGTGAAATGGCACCATATGGAGTCAGGGAGCTCAATGAGGGAAGGGTCCATTGCATGGACACATCTGAGCTGTTTGTCGACGTGTATGGCGACTCCACCTCCTTCTTTCAGATCCCTATCTCGCCTGACTAGGACCATATCATTTATACTGACTTCGCCGTCTGCCACTGTAGGGGCTAGCCAGGTTTCCGTTAGTATTATGATTTTGGAGTTCAGCTGTGATTGTAGGTGTCTAAGTTCAGCTATTTTGCCTCTTAGCCCTCTCACTTTACTGTACAGGCAACTGGTAGTCAGTCTCACCACGTCCCCGTATTGTGGGGTGGTTGACGTGATGTGGGCTGTCGGTTGAGGAGTTATCCTACGAAGTAGTTGGCCGATTCCCCGGGAACCGGCCTGTTAGCAATTTTTTCTTCTAGTTCAATCGTAGCATTTGGATGACACTGGCTATCATCGTCCGTGCTGCACCGCTGCATTGTGACTAAGGGTTGGGGATTTTCTTTGACAATGCTTTGTTCTATCCTTTGGATACGAGGCCGGCTCTCGCAGCAGCGAATGTGTCTGCTGACCTTGTCCTTGGTCTCGTATCATCTCTGGAGAGCAGTAGTCAAGTGGTCTCGGGAGCTGAACTTAACAGCTAACAGACGTAGCGTGTTAATTGACATTAGGTGAGTGGGTCGAGGCAGTCTAAAAATAGAGACAGCCCCTGAACTTCCCAGACCCATCTGGGATGCCAACCATCTCCATTGCTGTACATCGTGACAGTGCTTCTCACAAGCGTTCCCAGTTACCAGTTCGGGAATGTCGTGAACAACCATGGAGGTAGAGGGAATAAGCTCTGGCGACTCCCTCGCCATCTGTCTTTCTTTCCATGGCCTGTCTGGTCTAACACGTGTGTTGCAGGCCCTCCCTATAGAAAGGACTTGAGAAGTCAGTAAAACATTTTCGACATCCTCGGTAGAGCCCAGTGTCACCGTCAGTGGGAATGGTTTGCCTTGAGGAGTAGCAGTGCCCCTATACAATCTGCATAGTTTTACTGGTTGGATGTCCAGACCCAGTGTGCTACACAAGTTGGACCACTGTTCCTGATCAAACAGGGCCCTGTTTTCCAGCAGACTACTACTACAGTCAGGTACATTAAAGAGGATTACGCAGTTTGATCGACTAACCGTGGATTAAGGTTCGGTCCTCGCACATTTGTCATCCCCCTTAAGACCGTTTTGTTTCGTCTGGTGCGACTGGATATTATTGTATGTCGCAGTGCGGTGGCCACTATTACTGGTGGACGGTAAGAGTCTTTTCCCAGCGACAGATACCCTTGGTGCTTCAGCCTCTGTGTCTGGAGCGATTAAGGCAAGAATCGCAAGTTTAACCAGTGTGGATTTTGGTATCCCCGATTTACGTGCACTTGTGCTGTTTTCTGAGTTGGTGGGAGTAGAACGTTTCACGTTTTTCCCTGATACCTCTACGCCATCTTTAGCTTTCCAGGAACTACACGAGGCTGTTAGGTGGGGACAGCAAGCAAGTCAATAGGGTAGTGAAGTTACATCAATTGTGATGATTAGGAAGCATGTTGCGCATACTGAATCACCACTTCGCATGGTGAGCAATTTTAGGTGACACAAGTTTCGGCTAGAAGAGTTAATGGTATTCAAATGAAAACCTGTCATCAATCCATGGAATCTCTGACTGCTGACCTGAGCCACTAAGAGAGGGTTGGATAGCTTGACTGAGATCTTCGAGATGCTTAAATCTCTGGTAAGGCAGTCATTAAGGCTGCTTAGTCTACTTCGAGTTCTCTTATGGTCGGCTTCGACTAAGAACAACTCTCGAGACGGTTGTGTGGCAGTCTATACTTCCACGCCTGAGCTGTGGCCTCACTGCCTGCTGACTCTAACCTGACCCACCTAACCTGGTGGCCTGGCTGTTCTCAACACATACTCAGCTAGTGAAGAGAGATAATGCGGCTGCTAAAGTTTGTATTTTTCACGACAATACGAAGAGTGTGTGAAGATACACAATCACACCACGACGCAACCACCGAGCTATTATCCCTTCAAAATTTCATTGCCCATCATGTTTTTTTCAACCTGCACCTATGAACAAACTGATCATCTCAAATCAAACTGCTTGAGTCCAGTTGAATAGACCAAACCGTCTGATTATTTTCAGATCCTCGAATTCATTTCAGTTGGTCAGATACTTTCAGTCTCTGTAATCTTGCGTATGATTGCAACTGACTTTGACCTCTTTCATATTTATTCCTTCTCTTCTCCATCTGCTATCATTAGCATTCGGAATATTTAAAAGAATAGTCACACGAATTTAGCCTTACTTTAAGGAAAATTTCAACACTGTAATTAGTGAGATTGCATAAGAAATTAATTCGATCCACTGATCTGGTCTCGTGGCAGTTAGTGTAGTGAATGAATGTAATCGCATCAGAAATGGTCAATCAGTGTAACTTGAGTCGCAGAATGTAAACAGATGACCTCCCCGAAAGTTGTTCTCCTTGAAACAGATAGTTCACCCAGTTACCCATCAAACACCGAGTCTAGAGAGCAATAGTTCGTTATGTCATAATCTACTCCTGCACAGCTTAGCTTCAGAAGTATATAGTATAAAATATTGTAAGTTTTCGACCATAGCTGGCTTTTATATAAGGGACGCTAAAAATAGAGGCATGAGAATAATTTGTAATGCAGCAAATTATGACGGAGGTGGATTTACTCCATATGCTGTTTAAGACCTTGAAAAGAAATAATAAATCTTTAGTTGGTCTTCATCTGTTGTGGTTTCATACTGCTCATCTTCGCTTATTTTATCTACTGTGTCTGCAAATGTGGCAGGCTGAAATGTTCTTCCTTGCAAAATTCTATATGGGTTAATCAGTACACTCATCCCATTCTGCGAGTAAGACAGAAAGATTCAGGCACTACTTTATTCGCTTCACTTGCTTCTGCCGAGATTCATGGGGTTTAAAATTATGCATGTCATTTCATCGTAGTTGATTGAACAACTTAAAAAGCAGTAGACATCAACTGTACTCCAGAAGAGTATTTGAAGTTATCGGTTCTCTACTGAATAATCTATTACTTGGATTATATATTCGTCAACTTCACTTGACTGAAGCAATCACTAGTCGCATCAATTGAAATATGCTGCAAAATCTCATGACCGTGATGGTCAACACACTGCATCTCGAGGTTTTATTCGGGATCTTGTTTCCCCTATTTTGATAAAGATTTGTTTCATACTTTACTTTATTATCTCTGCTCCAAAGTACTTGATTTTCACTTGCACCTCATCGCATTTCCAGATAACTCATCAATGTCTCCGGTCATAATCCAGTCTCGGATGTTAGGTATGTAAGAAGTTATTTGAGTTGAAAGTAAGTGTTGTCGTAGACCGGAATCATTTGAAGAACCATTGGAAACCAGACCGTAGTGTATAGTCTCTTCGTCATTGTCTGGATCTACTTAGAAGTGCAGACCTACGACTCCACTACAGAACGGCTCTACAATAATCGCTTGATGAGTCAAGAATGTAACTATTGAAACACAATATTGGATTCTAGTAGCAGCTCCTAACTGGAGAAGGTCAATCAGTTATTAGCAGACTGATGTATGTGCATATTTAACTCTCTCAAAACACCATTTATTCCATTGGAAATGAAAGCTTAGTTGTTTGCAGTGTCAACAATACAAGAAAACTGAAGCAATTGTATTTTTCTTTAGTGTCTGAATTCACGATTCAGGACAATAGTCAGATCGACTGAAGATGCTCAGTCAGTATCGAACTATTATTCTTAAACATGTTGTATTTTTTTTCCTTCACGTTCCCCAGTGGAACATAGGGCTTCAAGCTAGTGGCTTGAAGTTTCTGTAGCAGTGTTTATTTTACAGGATGGGGTTGCTAGCCTCATGCCCAACCTTTCCTCTTCACCAGCATTATTGCTGGCTTAGCAAGGTAAAGGAGTGCGTCAGCCGGGAATCGAACCCCAGACCATGTGCATGGTCCGGGGTTCGATTCCTGTTGTATAAAACAGTGAAATCGACATCAAAAGGTAACGTTCTTCATCGACGTTATAATCTATCATTCATTTATTAAATTGGATGACTATCCGTTAAAATCCACAATGCAACGATTATTTTGCACGGTATGTGTTCCACATTGATCGGAGTAATCTACTCCTACTCTGCATAGAATCTAAATGAATATCGATATTGTATCGGATCACGTTTACTCGATGAGTTAAACTTCGAAATCCAGACCCCATTGTAGACTAACTTCTAATCCTCCAAAACTTTTGATAGACATTAAAACAAGTAAATATGTGTAGAATTTCACCGAATCGAGTAGGTGGAATCGACCACCTTTTCTCCATTGACACGTGTACGTTAATCAGGGAAGTTAAATTGTTACAAAGATTACTGTGTTTCTATCATCACTTTTACCATTAATTAGTTGCTTGTTGACTAAATTTAGTCGTCATAAATTCGAGTAGTCAATATTATCATTCCTTCTGGAGTAACTATCTCCATCAACTGGAAAGACTAATTCTACACTAAGTGATCCAAAATAATCGTACACACATTCCAGTCGAAAATCACACGATTTCATTGATTTGCTATGGCGACTAAAATGAATATTGCATTCTTCTCAAGTAGCAAACACATAGCCTCCTGGAATAATTACACCAACTATGATGATATGGGTAGACTTACAGACTAGTTCACTCTTCATGTCAGTAAGGAGAGCTAAAGACCAGCACAGTTACGCCTAATTTCTATGACCTGTCTCTTTATTTATTTACACATACTTAGAAAACTTTATGAATCAGTCGTTAGTCAGTTCTGTTGGACATATATGCAGCATGATCAGATTATTATTGCTTTTCGTGGTGGTCTACTTCAAACAAGGAAATCTGCTCATTGCGAAAGTTGTATTGATGTATAAACGAAGTTAAAGATTGTTTTTGAGATAACTTAGCATTTATTAAATCTTTCATTACAGTATTCAACATGTGACCCGGCTACAATGCAGTGAAGTGCGGCACATTTTTATTTACGACCCTTCTTTTCATTCAGTTTATTCAGATATACAATATTTTAAGAAACGAAAATAAACTGTTACGGGACTACATCGTGAGTTGCTGAAGAGTTCAAAACTAGGACGAAACAGCTGCTCAGTACTTCCAGGTTTTCCAGTAGTTCTCTAACGGATGTCACCTCATGATGAAATCCTGTAACCAATCAATTAAATCCCTGAAAACCAATACTTGAAAACAATCTGTGTTAGAAATTAACGTTCAAAACAAAGGAAGAGAGTGTGTGTGTATTAATTTTTCAAATTAATCAAGGATACATATTTTATTTGTTAAAATGTGTCCAAAAATTCAAATCGCCAGTTTCTGTACTATATTAACTAAATGATACTAGCAGTCAGTTGTTCAAACGATATCGTTGTTTATTTACCCGCACCTTTCGCATGAGCCAAATCTTGACGAGAGTTTTGAACTAGTAACTGTAAGTAATGAAACATAAATTATTTGATTAATTTATCATACGTAGTTAATAAAAAACAGACAGGAAATAAAATAAATAACTGTCGAAAAAAGGAGAGGAGGAAATGGCCCATCCGAGAAGACCTGCTCTGACTCTGTATTACATTCAGAGGTAATCAAAATGTATTTCAGATCCTGAAAGTCCTCATGAATCTACAGTTTGTCTTAGTCCACTGTGGTTTCATTAGATTCATGTTTGCTAATTTTATGTGTACTATTTGAATGAGTGGCAGTTTCAATTGACTAATGACTTTGCCAAGTTGCTCATCATTTCAGCCAGTCAATCAATCAGTAATTCATTTTGGTTGGCTGTTCAGTCACTCAATCAACTTGTAACAGTAAAGTCCTGACGAGTAAGTAAAAATGGATCTGTATCACTAATCCATCATACTTGATCTAAATCATCGATTCTCTATATCTTTGTATGGAGAGGCTAACAAATGATTTACAATTGTTTCCCCGTACACACACAATTGTTACCGCATGTACGTATATATATATATATATATATATATATATATAACATATTCACTTATTTACAACCATGAACTTTAGTCGAAAGTAATCAATAAAAATCTGATGGAAACATCACCCACTGTTTACAGTGGTTAACACTAAATGTAGACTCACATTTGTAAGTCTGTGTTCAAATTTTGATCACAATTCATGCACTTTTGTTTATTATATTTTGATGCATGTTTCATGACTTATTTGATTGGATAAAGTTTTTAAAAACGAAAGATACCCCTCAAATACATAAACTTTTGTTACTTTAATTTCGATTAATTTCCCTGAAGACGTTCGGACTAGTTTGCTCAATTATTTAGAAATTATTCGGTCGAATCATGATCACAGTTCATGTGAATTGTTTATATATTTGTGGTAATAAATATAATATACCATGGTTAACAAGTGATAGGCAAATAAATATTTTTCAAAAGAATGTTTACTGAATAAAGAATATTCTTCTTCGATAACTTCATTATCAGGTTCTACAGTTATATGTACGTAATAGTGAGTGAATTAGTGTTATTAACAACATTAATGGTTTTTAAATCCCATCGAATCAACAATAATACCAATAGATTACAGTTCTATGGCATCGACATAACAATACGCTGAATATCAGAAAAATTAGGAAAGATAATAATGCAATTTCCTGAATTTATAATCTCCACTGAAGGCCAGCCAGGGTAGTAACAGTAGTGGCTAGACTTGCTTTTTCTGCACTCAGAGCACCAGTTGTTTAAGGCAAATGGCGATAGCCTCTGTTGTTTGGCGTATGCGGTGCCTCGATGTTTTCGCAATTTATTTGGTACCTGGTGGATGATAGAGAAGGATTCGCCAATGCTAGTTTTGTGGCCGGTTTGGACCAGGTAGTCCAATATCGAACTGCTGATAGATTTTCCTACACCTTTACTTAACGACACTGGTAGATGTCCCCGAGCACGAAAAATCAAGTTCCTAGAGGAACGGTCAGTATAACTCGCTCCACAAGCGCAGTACAATAGGTAGGTACAATTAAAAGTGGCTAGTATAAGTGCTTCATTTTTCGATCGAGGAATCATCATTGGTCGTGTAGAAAATATGACTTGTAGTTTGCCGGCATTAAAAGTTCTTTGAAAAGATTTTCTTAACTTGTTAGTAATTATTTCACTGGGTCCCTCACCCTTGAATTACAGTCGTATATATAAAGGCTTCTTATTTACAGATGGAGAACACTCATTTTCTGATTTCTCGGTCATGTGTTTCTTGACGAACTTTTCAGGATAGCTATCCTCAATTAGGGTGTCATATGCAATCCTCAGTTCATCTTCAGTTACCGCATCTGGGCACATAGCTCAAAAACGTGAGCAGAGGGAAGATTTCAATAACAAAATAGGGAATGAATTAACCAGATGTTTGGAAAAAACTAAGGGAGGAACAGATATTTCGCGAAACTTTATATGAAGAAATCAGGCCAACGGCCACGTACACGCCAAGAATGTATGGACTACCTAAAGTACATAAACTAGGGGTACCGTTAAGACCAAAAGCTGACATGCAAAATTCACCCTACCATGCTCTAGCTAGATGGTTAGTAAATATCTCAAACCTTTGCATGAGCAGATAGTGGAGCATAGCGTCAAAGATGTATTTGAATTCGTGGACAACATCAAAGATATTAATATCAAAGATAAAACTGTAATACCTTTGGACATAACATCTTTATTCACAAATGCATCTCCAGTATAAACGGTTAAATACATATGTGAACAATGTATAACCAGTCGATAAATATTGCCATCCTAACAGAAATCCCAAAAGAATTTTTATCAAGCTGTACCATGAATATACATTTCAAATTCGATAGCACAATTTACAGGCAAGTGGAGGGGGTGGAGATGGGCTCCCCATTGCATCCCATTTTGACAAAGTTCTTTCAAGGAATGATGATATTAATCCATTGATATTATTGTTGATTCGATGTTATTTGAACGCAAATGTTGTTAATAACACTAATTCATTCACAATTATGTACATATAACTGCAGAACCTGATGATGAAGTTATCGAAGAAGAATATTCTTTATTCAGTAAACATTCTTTTCAAAATATTTAATAGGCATTTTTATTCAGTTAAAATATATTTTTTCGCTAAACAGTGGAACACGAAATTTACCTGGTTGGCCTCAATAGTTTTAGTCCAATCACGAGTACCAATTAATCTCACCGCTTCGAGTACAACCTTTTTAACTTTATCTATACTTTTGCGAAATTCTTGCAAAACAATATCAACAGAAACCTGATAAAAAAGAAGAAAAACATATAAGTGCGGATTGTATTCAAAAGGTGTTTAGGTCTGTTATGTTATTTCCAAAATGTATATCTGACATTACATTGATTAATAAGTCGCTGGCACTTTTTCAGTAGATTCAAGATGTTTATTAATGATTACATTTTTCATACATTTGGTTCCCTTGATAAATTTCGATAGGGAATGAAAGACCAGATTTGCAGTATAAAATGATATCATTCTATTTCACAGGTCCTCATCATCTGCAAACTACCTGAAATTACAATGGTTGTAAATAATAACATTTCATACTTCATTGTTTGAAAGGTAATAGAGAAAGCATTATAAGATGAACGCATCCGGAATATAAGGAATTAAATTTTTATAGTTTAAGTTACCATCAATTTATATACTATCAAACTATGAAAAAAGAAGAAAAAGGGGGGATGAGAGAAGACAAAACAGAAAAATCTAATAAACAGTGTCAACATGGCAACTCAACAAGGTCAAAGTTCATCAATTTGAAAACTTGCTTAGTGAGTTGACCTCACTAGTGTCTATGAGTAATCAGTGTAATGGAAGTGATATGGTTACCAAGGGAGTGGGAGATTGACTACACTCTCTTTTTGTGTGCATAAGTTTGGTCTGAGACGTTTGATTGCAATTGCTTCAGCAAATCGTAGTAGATTCACTTTCCTTTGTATGTTTAATATTTTGAAGGATTTGGAAATCTCGACAAAATGGCCCGTATCCACAAGGTGTCTGGTAATTGCACTTTGTAAATATTTGCTTCCTTTTAAGCATAAGTTTCTAGGAATATGCTCTGAAAACCGGATAGAAGCCCTTCTTTCTGTCCTTCCGATGTACTTGCTGCCGCAGGTGCACGTAAATTTATAAATGCAGTTGGAGGTAACATCAGCAGGGTACTTATCTAGTTTCGATTGGCTTATACAGCATGTAGTACTGTATAGTGTCACCAGATTGGCTGCAGGGAAGCATCTCCTTATTGCTCCTTTCATCCTCTTCCTAATCTTTTTTAATACTGTTTCTCCTTTGTATGAGAGGCAAATGAACACTTTCTTCTTTTCAACTGTTGGATACTTCTCTTTCTCATCTCTTTCTTTGCTGTACTTCAGGGTCAATCCTTTTGGATACGCGTTTTTCTTGAGGCATTTTTCAACAAAGCTTAATTCTTCTTCTATCTTGTTGGGCGAACATAACTTCCTAGCCCTGTCGTACAGTGTCCTTACTAATCCCCGCTTATAGCTCATAGGGCAGAAGCTGTTGCAGTGAAGGTATTGTCCGGTCCAAGTTTCTTTTCTGTAGATGGACTTTTCGACCGTTCCATCGTCTCTTCTTTTTACATTTAGGTCTAGGAAATTGAACTCATCGTTGTGTTCGTATTCCATGGTGAATTTAATGTTTGGGTGGACCTCATTTAGGCGGTCAAATAATACGGATGCCTGACTCATGCCGTTACAAACAACAAAAGTATCATCGACGTATCGACGGTAGTATGTTGTTTCATTTCTTTTTAGATAAAACTACGAACAATGTAAGAGCACGCCAGATGCTAAACGCATGAGTATGGCCTATTCGAACGTATTGTTGTGCTTGTTAAAGTGTGTATATAATCCACATATGTAGAAAAACTACAAATTCTGATTATTTAATATTCCTACCGGACGTTGAATAGGACACAGATCCCAAGGCAATTTGCAACATATTTTAAGCTGACACAAAACACCAGGTCGATCAGTATAATAAATAAGATAATTACTGTATGCATTTTGTTAAGAAACACTCAGTATACAAAGTCAGTCACACTCACAGTGAAATGTACGTGGAATTATCTAAATGAGGGTGTCATATCCACAAGAAACAAACGAGATGAACACACACAATGACACGAGAATGTTCATTTCCCCAAGAAACAAAAATAAATTACTCGTAATGATTTCAATTTTAAGCCCTGTTCATAAAATCCTCCCATTAGTGATTTCTAATTCTCCGAAAAATTCAAAATTCAAGTAGTCTAGACATTTCAAGCGATTAGTACAATGCGTCGATGTGTGTATGTGTGTGTGTTCACCTCACAAACCAGCACTGATACCTCAACTCTTTCCACTGGTAGTCGAATTTGTCGGAGATATAGAGGGGAAATTTTAGACAACAATTTATGCATGCGCCAAAATCACACTGGTGACCAGCTGGTCTAAGCTAACCCAACCTGACAAATAAGTGGAACTTTTAAGGCATTCAAGTATTTACTCGGTATTCCTAAATTTAGAGTCAATGCTATCCTGTTCATCCCCTTATCACTACTGGTACAAGCAAGCTATCAATGAAGTTGTTCTTTGATGATGAGACAGAGATTCACAATTCTGTCAACATCTCCGCCTAACATTCAATCTCTTCTCCTTCGCAAACTGGTATGTATCTAACTGATGTACATGAGGCGAATTTCATAAGTGCAGAACAGTTTTTCTACTCTACTGCTAAACTGAACCCCACCACCTCATGATTAGTTTCAATAAAACTCCCCTTTCATACTATGATGATAAAGTGTACTTGTGTACTTGAAGTTGATTGGAATTGATGCCAAACGGTTAAATCTTCTTCCCCGCATGAAGTTACATTTTCCCCTGTGGTTCCTTGCAATGAAGTTCCATTTATGCCTCGAAGAACTAGCCAGCTACATCAGGGTGATCAAATCCAGACCTATGAGGGTGTATATCTTCAATAGATATCAGCGTCAATAACCACTGAAAATTAGCAAACGCTAAACATACAATTCGCCTTGTAGAATTTCATTGGCTCTAACTGTGTATTCATTAAGAGGACAGATCTCTTAAAATTGAGAAAAATGTAGAATTTTAACAATTCCCCACTCATTCATTATTCAGAACAGTTTAGAAATCACAAGTGATTAAAATGCTAAAAGTTTTACTCACATGAGCTTGATCTGCTTTCCAACAATCATAGTCTGTTACAATAGCTAAAGATGCATAACTGATACCTGCTTCACGAGCTAACGAAACCTCAGGCACTAATGTCATACCGACTAAATCCAAACCCCAACTACGGAATAACTTCGATTCGAAACGAGTAGAAAAACGTGGGCCATTGATGGTGATTACGGAACCTTTAGTATGTACACATGGATGCTTAGGGGCGGTCTTCCCACTATCTCGGTCATAGATATCCAAGGATAGGTTCTTGGCGGCTTGAATTAAAATCTAAAATAGAAAATACATAAAATCATCTGCTCATTACACAACTTGTAAAATGAAACTTAAATTGTCTGTTCATAGCATAGTACACAATAGTGGATAGAGTTAACTATTCAGCTGCAGTTGAGATTGATAATCTCTCCCTTGTTATCGGAATTAATGTTTACTAATAAGATCAAAGTATGTTATTTGGATCGCACACACTTAAGAGTGGTGTTCCTCAGGGTACAATTCTAGGCCCACTTCTCTTCCTGATTTATGTTAATGAGATTCCATTGGTAGTTAAGTCATCCTGCTTACTGTTTGCTGATGACATCAATATATGGAGGGCTTTACACGATGACAGTGATCAACTTGCTTTGCAGGAAGATTTAAACTTGTTAAGTGATTGGTGTCAGCACTGGGCCTTGGAGATTAACTTAAGCAAGAGTGTAGTTATGCATGTATCTCATAGTCACGTGCACAATTACTCAATGAATGGCATTAGCCTCCCAGTTGTCACTGAGTAAAAAGACTTGGGAGTGGTTGCGCAGCATGACTTGAAAACAGCAACAAACTGTAGAGCTGCAGCCACTAAGGGTTTTCGAATATTATGGGCCATACGCAAGGCTTTTGCGAACTTTGACGCTGATATATTTCGTATATCATATCCGACTTATATCAGACCTCATTTGGAATATGGGATCCAGGCAGCGAGCCCGTGTTTCAAATACGAAAGAGACTTATTAGAAAGGGTGCAAAGAGTAGGAACTAAGCTAATAAAGGGTTTCTCAACCCTCTCATATGAGGAGAGGTTAAGTCGACTGGGTTTATTTCCACTGTCATACAGAAGACTTAGGGGTGACCTAATACTGGCATACCGTATCCTAAGAAATGATTTTGGAGCAAATTTATCTAATTTATTTCTTCCTTCTAGCACCAATCGATTGCGAGGACATCACCTCAAGGTTCAAAAACCACGGTCGAATCGTCTGCGTCAGGGGAATTGTTTTTCGCATCGAATTGTGAACCATTGGAACTCCCTACCGGAACACGTCGTATCAGCGCCATCCGTTGATTCATTCGAGGCGAGATTGGACCTCCTGTGTGTAACAAATCGAAAGAATTAACACAGGCATATAGCCTAATATCCTAAATTAATTGTAAACTGTAAACTGACTGTAGACTCCAGTGAAAAAGTGGTACAGTGAGAATTCAATACCTCGTTGACTGTTAAATAAATAAACTTCGCTGGAAGGTTTCCAGAATCAATTCTGACTGGACAATTATGAGAATACCTTAGTATAGTCCAAGCGTTTCGCAAAATAACGTTGCATCCTGCACACTGAGGTACTGAGAATAACCTTGCTTTGACTGCTTATATTAAGATATGCATCTAATGTTGCTCCGTCTAGATTGCTCAGAATACAGTGAAGATTTCGCCTTCCAACACAGAATGAAAATCAACACTCCATGAAGGTAGAAGTCTTGGTATTGTTTTGTTAGTATATTCTTATCTACTGGAATGTGTTATTATATTGCATGACAGAGACGAAAAGCCTTGTATTTTTTAACATTCAGTGAGTTACTGGTCAATAATGATATGAAAATAACACAATCCAGGAAATGAAGAAATCTCGGGGCCGATAGAAGTATAATAATGTATCGGTTTCTGATGTTACAACCAGAGTTGTATAGGTTGTTTTGATTTCACAGATAAAACCTCAACACAGTTTTGGGTGTTTTCCCTATAGCTTTGAGAAAAATGTTTCTGAACAGCAAAAGTCTCTACTTGGTAGAACTTTTGAAACAGTTTAGTTGATGAATAAATGCCACAGCATTTGCATCAACCGTTAGTCAATAAAGTCATCAAATTTCCTTGTAAATCTTGGATACAATTTATCATAACAAAGCTGATATACGGAAATTATGTAAAACAACTTGCATTGCAAAGAAATAAAAACTTATACGCATTTGCCTCATAGATTCACTGTTTTGCAAACAAAGAAAATTCACTGGATGTCTGTCTATTGTGGCTAGTAACATAAAACAAATAAAGTGATCACCTGGCGTGTTTCTTCACAAAATGGATCCGCCATAGGCATGTGTAGGACTCCTTTTATTGCACCTGGTCTGCTACCATAAAATGAAACCTCTCGGCCATTAGTTCTGTCATAAAACTGATCAAGAACCAGAAAGTCCCCTGGTTGTGCGTGCTCCTGCAAACTACCACAAGCACAAGTGGCTAAAATGTGAGTACATCCAGCCTCTTTCAATGCCCATATATTTGCTCGATAGTTAACTTCACTGGGCAATACTATGTGCTCCTTTCCATGTCTGCAGAAAGAGATATTGAAAGTAACTTGAATCAAACAGGTAAAGTTCGGTATTGTTTATAAGCAGAAAAAAGTTTCAATGAGACGTTAACTACGTCCAAGAAATATTGCATTTTCGGGAACTTGACAACGAGCAGAACATATGTCAAGTGAGTGCTACAGACACAACTCTACGCGACAGTAAGCTAGACAAGTTCAAAATCGAAAATCATTATGTTAAAATCCAGTGCACGAATCTGTATACCACAGTGGAAATTTTCCTAGCCAGTGAATAACAATGACCACCTTTTAAGCTGCCCAAAAATTAACTTCACCAAGTGTTTTGTCATGAAAAAGTGTCTTGAAATTACTTTGATCCTTTGACGAGTTCTACCGAAATTTGATGAATTCATTAAATCCTACTTTATTAACCTTTATTGCTTGTTTTAAATTCGTATCGGGAAATAAATGTTCTCAATTCTTGAAGAAGCGTCTCCCGGAAAGCACTATCAATGCACTAAATGATCTAGTGAAATTGAGGTGTAGGAATGCTAAACACTCTACGCGACGAGATTTTTTGAAGGAATGTATCCAGGCTAATATTTATCCTCGGACATTTTACAAATCCTTGCGTAAGGACCATTTGAGACCTACACGGCCAAATCTTTACCGTCTTGCTGAATCACATTTGTCTTCTGAAATAGATGAAATCAGTAATTTATGTGTATTATCAAGCAAACTAATCAGTGTACAAAATGACGTAAACTTCGTATGTTATCTTAAATTCAGAAATATCTGCATGCCACTTCTAAAGAGACAAATGAATCAGAAGAAAAGAAACTGAAGAAGTCACTTCATCCGGAACCGCCGAATGAAGTTTTCCCAGTGAATATATCTAATTATGTTTATAATTTATCTGATGTTTCCCTATCAAAATAACAAGCAGAAATTCTGTTACTGGGATTCAACTTCTGTGTTCCCATGAAAAACATAAAGCAAACTGACGTCGAATGCCAATTCGAAAATCTTTATGATCAACTTATGGGGCTATATGCTACGTCCAACGACAGCGAAAGCTGGTTGAAAGCAAAGATGGTTGATATTGCTCACCAATTTCGAATCATGCCGACCAATTAAAAGTCGCATACCACCAAAGAACACTGGAGCTCACTAGACAAGCTCCGAAAATACAATAATCTTGTTATTCTACAAGCTGATAAAGGACAAAGCGTAGTGCTAATGAATAAGATAGATTATCTCGAAAAAATGCATCAAATTCTCTCTGATGAATCTAAATTCAAATAGGATAATCATACATAAGATCAAACGTTGTCAACCGAAAGGAAAATTGTGCAGCAGCTACAAAAAGAAATACATTGATGAGAACACATTTAGAAATATCAAACCAATTTGGTCACAAATCCCAAAACTATACGGACGTGTTAAAATACACAAAGCAGGAGCGCCGTTAAGACCCATACTCTCGATGATAAACTCACCATACCACAAATTAGCACAGTGGCTGTGTGAACTGTTGCAGCCCTTGCAGAAACGCTTCGGAACGTATATAGTTTCTGATTCATTCCAGTTTGTCAAGCACATCAAAGATTTCAATGTATCTGATAGACATTTGGTCTCTTTCGATGTTACCTCCCTCTTCACAAATGTGCCAGTCGTTGAGACTGTCGACTTCATATGTAAAGAAGCTGAAGACATACCCATTCCAACATCGGAATTGAGGAAATTGCTGCTTTTATGTACTAAAAATATCCAATTCCAATTCGACGGGCGTTTATTCCGTCAAGTTGATGGTGTCACAATGGGAAGCCCTTTGGGACCACTTTTTGCTAAATTATTCTTGTTACGCCTAGAAACCGGTACCTTGCAGCAAAATATACAAGAAACGGATGTATACCTAAGATATGTTAGTGACATTTTTATTGTCTGTGGAAGCAGATCAAAAAGCTGAAGACATGTTGATAAAATTCAACTCATGCCATCCAAATCTCAATTTCACAGTAGAACACAAGGAAAATGATACTATCAAATTCCTAGACGTTTTTCTGGCGAAAATGAATGATGGCACAATCGAAAGATCTATATTTAGAAAGTCCTCATGAACAGGACAGTACATGCATTTCAAGAGTTTTGTTCCAATCCAGTACAAAAAGAACTTAGTCAGAACACTGTTCAATAGAGCACGAAAGATTTGTTCTGACAGTACTGTTGAGTATGAAATAAAATCCCTGAAGGATATCTTATCTAAGAATGGATATCATGAGAAGTTCATTAATAAATACTCTAAAGAAAACACCCGCTGCAAAACAATCCAAACAGTTCCGAAGAAACCTGTCTATATCAGTTTGCCGTTCAAAGGAGATGATGTACGGGAAGTAGTCAAACGAAGACTCGACAAAGCCATGAAGAGAACTTGTTATGCTGCAAAACTTGTTTTCCTTAACACCACTAAGCGAGTGCTTCAACAATCTGGGAATGACAAGTCGCCAATCCTCGACACTTCAAACTGCGTATATCAATTTGAGTGTGTTTGTGGAAGCAAATACATAGGTCGTACGGAAAGGCGATTGTCTACTCGCATGATGGAGCATTTGCCAAAATGATTGAAAACAGCTGAGTGCAAAGTGCCAAAATCCTCAATAACAAAGCATTTTGTGGATTACGGACATGATATCGACGCGGTCAAGTCATTCACCATTGTCAGCAGACAAAGAAACAAGAAGATGCTTGCAATTGCGGAGGCTTGTGCAATTCGAGTATATAAAAATGTCTCTGTGTACAAAAGAAGATGGTCGTGACTCTGAATCTACCATGGTAATACGTTTTTTAACTTATTATTCCATCTCTTATTATTATTATTCTTGATTCATTTGAAACTATCCTTTATCAGTAGGATTATCTTAACTCACTTCAACACTGTTATTATTATTATTATTATAACAATTACAATCGATATTACTGTGTTTGTAATTCTTATTATATTCTCTAATGACTAATTGTTTATCTAAGTGATGTAATTGAAGCGTAATGGAATTTATCTTAATTTCGATCTCTCATACTCTCTCCCCTTATCTATTTGAACATGACCTGGTAAAGCATTCGTACCTGTCTTTCCGCATGACTAATTCAATGTAGTTTGTTTACTTATCAGTCTTATATCTCCCGATGTAATTTCAAAAGTATATATATCCGTGTATGTAGAGTATTCAGCTGACACGTTCTACCAAGATTTGATGAATTCATTAAACCCTGCTTTATTAACCTTTATTGCTTGTTTTAAATTTGTATCGGGAAATAAATGCATTCAACTTTGATCCTAATCTGGTGCTTTTATCAAGATTTCTCCAACCAGTTGTGAACACAATAATGCAACTTACAACTGATAGTTATGTTTCGATTTCCAAGAAAGAAGGAGTACTGCTTTGATATTATGCAGAAAGAGAGTGAAAGCTGCAGTATATAGTCAGTAATCGAGTCTAGAGAAATATGCTTCACACTAAGAAGACCTAAATACCGAGTAAATTCAGAAATATGCCTTTGATCGGTAGTTCCAATTATGACTTTGAGGATTATGAAAATATCACCGAAACATTCAGTAGTTCGACAAATTTCATCTAGGTGGTTAAAAGATGCAGGAGCTAAGTAATTGACCACTAAAAATCAACGAACTTGTATGTTTATAAAACTAATTAATGAACAAAGAATATTATTTTCGATAAATTCGTGATTTATATGACAGAAATAATATTTTTAAAAATTTGTTCCTAGCAACATTAATATTTTAAATCACAATAGGTAGGTTAATTGACAACAACTACCCTGAAAACTGCGTCACTAAACACATAATCAAGACACCTCTATGTATACAACCACTGTGGTGAGAGCTGGCTGCTAGCCAAAGTTGGTAGACAGTAACTGACGTCAATGTTTATGTCCCCAATATTGGTGCTGAGAAAATGAGTACAAAGGCTTGCGTAGGCGGATACAGTTAGCATATGGATGATCTGACACAGCCACAAAGAGATGCAAGGTTAACTGTCTGTGAGAAACAACCAATCAAAAGATTGCATTTTCTAGCAACAATAATCTATAAATATGTGTTGATTTTCCTTAATAAACGATCTGTTGCCTGGCCCTTGTCTTCTGTTGTTACACCACTACCGAGTGAAATAACAATCAACAAGTCGGGAAAATCGACTCAAAGAACGTTTAATGCAGGTAAGCTGCAGTTTAAATTTTCCACACAACTGACTGAGATTCCGAAACTGAAATGTGAAGTACCTAGGCTAGCCACCACTAATTGTATCTGCCAATTCAACTGCTTCTATGGAACCAGTTATACTCGCCGTTTCTCTAAGAACCTAATTTTTCGTGCTCAGACACACCTACCAGTGTGTTTAACACCCTCAAGAGTTCTATACTGGATCACCTCATCCAAACAGGCCACAAAGCTAGTATTGAAGAGTCTTTCTCTACTACCTATTGGGTATCAAATGATCCACCAAAGGCCTCCAGATATCGAAAACTGCAAACGTCAGAGGCCACTGCAATTCGCTTAAATAGATCGAAGCTCTGAGTGCAAATTAAACAGGTGAAACCATTGTTGTTGCCCTGGACCTATGTTCAGCCATATGTAAATTCACTTCCCTTAATCTATCTGATATTCAACTTAGTAATTTATGGATGCGTATTATGTCGTGCTGGTGCTTTTGAAATGTAATCTGTCCATACTATTGATTCGACGCAATTTAAGACATTGATGTTGTTAATAACAATATTTCCTTAATCGCCACTGCCATATGAATGTGGAACTTGATGAAGATTTTGTCGGAAAGAATATTCTTTGTCCACTAATAAGTCTTTCAAATCCTTTATGGGCATCTTAAGTGAATTAATGGGTTTAGTGCAACATATTATTAGGGACTTTTGAGAAGTGAGAAACAGTTACCTGGGAAGTATAACACATGGAACATCTCCAATAAAACCTTCGGTTAGAACGTCTGAAGGATTCCCAAACTGGGTGGTAACCTCTTTCACTTTCACTTGTTTGAATAAATTTGGATCATTAAATCCGGAACCTCCAATAATACCGACCTAAACATAAGGATAGAAATTATAAAATACACATGTATTAAGTCTCTGATAACTCAGTTCCAGGTTTCATTTCGGTTTGATCTTCTTGTCTCGTAATCCTAGAATCTATAAAATCATTTGACGAGACATTGGAGTCTTCGGATCTGGTAGTCCTCAATAATACTTCATACGTAATTGAGACTCAAACTGAATACCTTCGTCCATACTGGTCATCGGTGGCACAGCAATTGGGACCCTCACCCACTATGCACATGGTCCGGAATTCGATCCCCGAAAGACGCACATATGATATCCATTGTCGGCCTGTTAAATTTGGGCTACCGATTAAACATGCTGAAAATTCCATACCTGCATCAAAAATACTGTTTGTAGTCAAGCTATAATAAAATTAAAAGTATAATAAAAAACCTTTCAAATCATATTACGTATGAATAAGCTCTTGTTATCTGATGATTCTAATGATGAATGGCCTGTACTCGAAGTAGTTAAGGGAGTAGGGTGTACGGAGTTAATTTTCACTAATTTACAGGAGGTAACAAAACTTACTACAAGTAGTATCTGGACAGCATATCGACTTGACAAAGTAAGAATTTTCGGCATATTTGACACATTTTTACTCTTCAGTCGGTCGAAAAAAGTTACACTGTCAGAAATGCAAACATTACGTGCACCTTTTGAACAAGTAATCCGACTTTACTTTGTGTTTTACCAAACATAACAACATTTGGACTGCATAAAAGCTGTTACCTAAAGGAAGTTTAATTTCATGTGCGCTATCTCAATAGTAAGACGAAGACACATCAGTTCAATTCATCTCTGTACAATATCTTCCACACAAACAATAGATTAAGTGGAAGAAAGTGTTAATGTCCATGAGACTTTGTTTTCAAGAAACACAGAATAACGCTGACATGAAGGGATTTCTTATTCACACAGAGCTTCCTTGAAATTCGCTATGTGATTATCAGATAATAATACCACAATGTCGGTGAGTACTTACTTAGTCTGCTATGTTTCCCACAGAAATTTATGTTGTCCGTCGACAACTTTGAGTGTTATGGGGTCAACAACATAAGCCCTAATATAGCCCTAATTTGCTTTAAACTGTCATGCTTTATACTACTACACCGACGCAATGTTATGAAAATCGGAGACGAAGCAATTAAAAAGTGAATTACTAGTCACATATCTTTATAAGGCAAAATTTTCGACACATCCCAAAATTATTTTCTTTTATGAAAGATCTCTGCCTGCAAGAGGCATCCTGGGATAAAGTTTTCTAGTTCGTACACTGGTACACCTATAAATGCATGCCGCAGGGTTGACTTTGAAAGTTGTTAATGTAACCAGTAAACGTATAGTCACCAATGGGTTGAAATTCCAAGAAGTCTATCTGCCGACTGCAAGACAACCAACACATAGGGAAGTAAATAATCAAGTGAGAGAAAAAAACATTTAGAAGAGAAGATTAACGCAGGCCTAAAGCGGACAAATCCTGTGAAATATGCTATATTTAATACCATTGTGATGAGTTCGTATACATCTACCGACTTCTTGAGGACCGCTTTTTGTGCTGTGGCAGATTATAGTGGAGAAGACCTCACTTCTGTTGAATACAGTGAGGATGATATATGAAGTGTTACAGGATAGTGCCACCGCTTGAATTCGCAGCCCTTTTTGACTAAGAAGTTTTCTGGATAGATTGGAAACACACTGGCAAGTCAGATTTTAGGCAAATAGAATATATATATATGTATGTATGTAAGATCGAGAAAAGATGAAATGGAGAGGAAAAGAAAATAAACACCAAGAGAAAGAGAATAAACCAGTGAAATGAAAAGATGGCGTCATGAGGATGGTAGTACTGCTAGTTTATTCCTACGGAGCTTGATTCTTCCTGGAATAAATTTGCTTTGACTTCGTTTTTGAGGCTAACGACTGACGAAGTGGCGACTACGTCATCTGACATCGGTTCGCATAAATATTAAGCTTAAAAATAAAAACCGAATTTCATCGTGGTTACTACTCAATGAGTGTCCTTTCTTCTTACATCTCTCAACGCAGTACTGTAATGTCATTTCGAGTAATTTAGATTTTACTTTAGGATGTAGATTGTTAACAAGTCTGTCGTATTATGCAGTATCTGGGTGTGCATAACTTTAGTCTTCTCAGTAGATCGTCTTATAGTCAGTATTTCAACCAAATGACAGCTTTAGTTGCTCTTTCTGAATCGAAGTACGGCACAAAAATCGAGTAAAATGAGATATTCACGGGAGTTAAGTGCAATACAAAAATATGTGGTGTGACATACCTTGATATTAGTCATACTTTGGTTGTTGTTAAAAAGTCGTAAATTGTCTCTGGAGTGAGGTGTAGAAGATTTTAAGGTCCGTGTAATTAGTTTACTCGGAAACCACGAGAGTCTGACAAAAAACAGAAAATTATTGTAAACATGGGCAAACAGCTTAGCAGTCACATACAATATATCTAGGTGTATTAGCGAAAAATACGGACAGTATATTCCCATGATTAAATGAAATTATTTGATTACTGTGTCAGCATAATGTAAACACATGGCATGCGTCAAGCTTGAGGAAAAATAATATTGCGACCGAATTTGAATACCGAATGATTCACGTGCTCACACTTTTAGTATATACTGTTTCATAATATACAAATTCAATAAATAAAAATAACACACTATTTTTTAACAACCACTTGTCATAAATGACTAGTTAAGTGAAGTTACTTGCCACTTCAACACAGAAGTCCTAAAAACCCTGACAGTGCTGAATTTAGCTTAAGCGGAAATATGGAAACAGACGGGCACGGTTTCTAAATTGTATGTTAGCAACGCTTAAACTGAAACCTTGGTGTACAATGAATTAACACAACTAAACAAACATCGCGAAATGTGTTGACGTGAAAACCGTCAGAACAGTTTTTTCATTTGCAGATACCTAAGTAGTCAGGAATAATTTTTCTGTAAACAAATAAATAGTAATAATGCGCAACCTACGGACTTGTCAATAGTTCTCAAATAGTACTCGGCACTCACGAGCTCTGTCTACAATTCTATTTGAAGAAACGTCATGGTGGGTTCCTGAGTCGACTGGCTATATTTCCGTGAATTCGTCTGCTATTTAAATTAAAGGGGATTATTTGACGCTTTGCCTATTTTAATGTATCGAATTCAATTTTTGTCACTGGATGTTATTTCAAGCTTATTTTTAGCCTGAAGTTCACAGATATTATGTTGGGTAGTCGTTAAATATCACGTTCTAGAACAGCTGTTAAAATTTCACTTGGAAATTTTTTGTCAATAATTTTTAATAAAATTGTGTTATATGTTATCTGGATTGATGGGAATTCCCATTTTCGGACCAGTTATTTTGGTGTCCGCGTCATGTAATCTGACTGCGACACCCCCTAGCATATCGGTTGCAGCGATCAGTGTTTCAGGCGAACTGTAGCAAAATATCGCTATAATGAGAAAGATGGGATAGTTGAAAGGTAATGTCATCTACACAAATAGTCTACTTTATTTAGAAGCTGCAGCTTTCGGCATGGTATCATTCAATGAAGACTTCACGTCTCAGGATATTAATTCAGCCTATGTCCGTGTGAAGAACAGTCCTTTTTGACAAAATAATTCTATCAGTACTTGGAAATCACCTGTAAATGCTATCAGATTCTTCTGTGGGAATAGAAGTAATCATGTAGATATGTCTCACCGTATGTGTGTTTGGACAGGAATTATCGTAAGTTGAGAGGTTATTTCTAAGTGTATTTCATGTATATTTACACTGTTTGGTGTAGCGTAATAAGAGTTATATGGACTCATTGCATAAAAAACATCTCAACTTTATTAATATTGTGCCATTGCTAAGCTGACTGCTTGGCTGGCAAACGTAGGTGGTTGTCATGATTATTGTAAGTGCAGTGCAGTGGAGAAGGCAATCACTCGTTTAAATTTCCTTACTGTCGCACTTAGTGCATTAATTGAGTGTATAGTATTATTATACACATGAATTGTGTCAATTATGAGAACTGAATCTAGTCAGCTCTATTACTATCAATCTACTGTCTGTTATGCCATTCTCACTGGCACTGTAAACTTAATGCTGCAATGTTTTTGATCACCAAAAGTGGTGATGGATTTTTCCTGAATTTTCCATTGACATGAAGCAGTACAGATGCCGCATCACGAGTGAAAGTTTAGGTTGCATTATATGTCATTGTTATCCTCATCAACACAACAGGTCTGCGTATCTTCCAATATTTCAAGTGTTTCTCTATGCTGCTAACACTGTGCATAGCTGTTTAGAGTTGAAGCATGTTCAGCTTATATTTGATGGCTACAGATTCCTTAATGTGAGAATATAATTTCTGTAGGATTCATAAAACTATGCTCGTTAGACATTACTGAGATTATGGATTAATTTCTAAGTTACACATTTGCAATACTTCATTTAATGTAAACGTATTTAGTGTGAAGTTGAGCTGCAAGTAAGGTTGGTGAGAGTATGGCGCCTCAACAGTATGGAAGTTTCAAAGGTTGTCTTGATATTTGCGTGTAATCCTTTAAAACTGGTAAACATATGAGATCTATTGATGCTTATGGTGTCAATATAAAAACCAGCTGTAAACTACAAATACATTTATTTGCATGAGATATTACTTAGTATTAACAGAATCAGTGTATTCATAGTGTGTGCTAATATTTAGAATTATCTTTCATAACTTCATGTTGTGCTAGTCCTTACATGTGCTTTATTTTTTTCAGGTACACGGAGGTTGTCGAATATGAAATCAGCGGAAATATCATTCGGTCAAACTAACGTTAATACCCTTCATTGGGATTTTCTTTTGTAAATTCATGAAATGTTCAATATACTCTTCAATTCTACTTCCTCTAGACTTTTTCAGTGCGTCGCTATACTATGTGCTTTTGTAATAAGTGAATTCGGATCAAAGCATGTTTAGCTTAGTTAGAGGGATGGAGATTTACTATAGTATTATGAGACTGTTGCTTTAGCCCTTCGTAAGATTTCGTGTCTGTTTCTATACAGTAGCACATTGTAAAAACTAAGTAGGATTTAGCAAGTTGAATAATAATTCTGTACTGTTCGATACGCTAAAATCGCCTTATCTAGCCACTTGCTATTCTGTATACTGTTAAACGCCAAGTATGTAGTACAAGTAAATTCAATAACTTAGGCTTGATAGCTACTTCACTAATCTGTTAATATGCAGTGACATCATCAAATAAACTGTTCACTTGACAATGAACAAAGAAACAATTTTTATCTATTTCTAATATGCCGTTGAATCATGTGACGTTATCTAATATCCATTATTTTTATGATCAACAACTGCGGTGTTTGCATATCTACTTAATGAATGTTAAATAACTCACGCCTTTATGCATCTAATTATATAAAAAAGTAATTCATATGTGAGAACAACGATTTGACCAGCTTTACAATGTTTAATATATTTAGACACTATAAACATACACTGCTTACTTCTGTGACGCATTATCTAAAGCTACCTTAAAGTAGTTCCCCCTGAAGGTAATCTCCCGTTGCTACTACCTAAGTGAGCAACTCAACGTTATCTTTGAATTACAAAGTTAAAGCGGACATCCTGAGAGCTTCCTGGGTAAAATGATCGTCTCCCAGTCGGAAAAATTAACATATCCTAACCTCTTCACGAAAGCGTTTAGAGGTATTTATCCTATCGCCTCAAATGACTCACTATTTTCTGTCACTTGAAAAGTAAAAATAAATTTACCGAAGGCATTGTGCTTATGGTTTCTAGATATCATAATGCACCATGAGGAGAAAGCTTTAACCATAGGGTTATAGCAGTTAGATGCGTGATATAAATCCGAAACACAACGATTACGATTCTCAATCACAGAACATTCTACTTTGCTACCTATTCGTCTCAATAGATGCTCCGCCAAGAAACAGCAGACCATTGGTTCAAGGAAAATATATTTAAAGTTTTCTTAAAAATCACGGGCAACCGTGTTTATAGCCACGGAGAAATCACAAGCATCCGAAAAGTAGGAATTTAATTATTTGGACTGAAACAAGCAATTTGCAACCAGCCAATTTTTTCACCCCGAATTATAATAATCAGCTTCTCAGCTTGTTGTAACTTCGAAAAAACCACCGATTGTAGACCAAAATCCGAAACGTTATTGTTGCTAGTTAAATTCTTACCGAATACACCAGATCATCGTATGTTATCCGCTTTTCAAATAGTTTTGAAATAAAATGGTTGTTAACACCGCGCTTACTACAGGCAGTCCTAGTTCGTGCGTTCGGATCTAGTACACTGGGCATTAACAGTCATTTAGGGATTTCCTATTGCTTCCTAATTTTGCTTCCAAATGTACATCCAAACACCACACATTCATACTTCGCATGTGGCTCATCCTTGCTTGATTTTGATTCTCTCACAATATATATGATTCTTTAGCTGACAGCAGACAACTTGTCGAAAAACTTCAGAGCTTTTTAAACTTCAGGCCATGTTCTAAATTCTCTAGGTTTAATTTGTTCAGCGAAAACTTTGCTAATATCAACCCTGATCGTGCTCTCTTCACCGCATTCACTCGTGTATCGTTGCATGCTGTAAACATGGATGTGAAAGACATTATTTTTTCCAGATTCCTACAAATTACGTAACCAATTGAGCCAGCAACAATAACGGCAACCAAAAATGAACTGGAAACAATGGCTTCTGCCACCCAAACATGTTCACGTGCATAATCTCAAAAAATTCTACACAGTACTAATTTATTAATAGCTGAAATACAACTAAAACCCTGAAACCATGCATGAATGCAACGTATGAAACAATAACAATGAAATGAATGAACTGACCTGGTGGTAAAAACTTTCGAAACAAAGGAAATAACTAATTTTAACAGAAACGGAAACAATGATGAAGTGAAACGCAACATTTTTGAACAATGTGCATCAAGATAAGTTGTGAATAACTGCTAAAGAAATGGAAAAACCAATGTGTAGACGAACAGCTGCGGAACTGTAATCTAACATGTTTGGCTAACATGGACGAAAATGACCTTTGAGCGTCTCACTCCATCAATGACCTTGAACGTGACGTTTAATTTCTGCCTTATGTTGATATTTGAGGATTATGGTAAACCTGCAACCATTGGGCTAATCCGCGTATACTAGGCTAAGATGGCTAACTTTGCAAAGCACAAAATGAGATTTAGTTGCACTGTGGTCAACCCTCCAATCATACCATAATGCAGAAGTAAATCTCGCAAATTCTGAACTAACTCTGAAATTCTGTAGTGAGGAAATCCTGGAATTGTTCTGAAATGGCTTGATCGCGCACACGAACCAGAACTCTGCGATGACTTAGGTATGAATGGCACTAATTCAGCATCGTTTTCTTCTTCTGAACATTTTTAGAAGCAGCTCAGAACCAATTGTGTTTGCTTATCAGCTTGATTTCATACCTCTTAGACTAGATTCAGCTCCAATGCTACTTTTAACAATGACCAGAGTTATTTCAGTATGTACTATGTCCATTTCAGGTAGATAAATTATTCATTGACCATAAAAAGCATTGTTGACCCGTAGGTTAGAATTAGTTTAAAATTGTTGTAAGGTTAGGCTTTTAAGCGGTGCTACAGTATAAGTGATGGATCGTCTTTGTCACTGTTATCGTAGATATTCTGTGAACCAGATAAAAATAAGTCAAACTGACGTGTCAACCTCCCTCTATTTGTCAGAATATCTAATAGTAACATACAGGAAAAGGGAACATATCACAGTTTAGATATGAATCCAA